GGAAGTTGATGCTCATGATATATTAGCTAGGGTTAGTACTTAACGTTAGGGTTCCAACTTCCAAGTGCTAACTGGAGTAAGTTTTCTCCATTCCGTGACCAATTGTGTGCGGCCAACTAACCCGTCTTGCGAATAATTCATTTAGTCAATGAGGCCCATCACTCCTACCTTATTTTTAATTCAATTAATTTATAATTTATAAGAACATTTGTAATTTTCTTATATTGTTTTGATTACTTTAAGTATATATAATGTGTTGTGTTTTATAAATGTATGTGCATTTATTATGTATGTTTTATAATATTATGTGCATGGCCCGTTCCGTCAATTTATAATATAAATAAACAAAATAAATAAATATACAAGTACAAACAAAACAAAAAAACACACATTGTAAAATCAATACATTAATCGCTCCGCTCAGAACCTAAAATGCCATACCTATAGCATTCAATAGCTAATAACTATAATAACTAACATTACTCCTATAACAATTCTAAGTATTGGTTATTAATACTAAGTTATTATTTTAGTTATCTAAGTATTTTAAGTACCAAAACGTGTTTTTCAATTACATTCCATATTTTGTTGGTATTAAGGATTAACGGACTACCTACGAATCGAACAAAAATAATTTATAGGACTACATAGTACAGACTAATTTTATTTTAAATGCAAGAAAAAATTGGCTACACCGGTTCGTAACATAATAATATAACGTTTAAAACTATTGAATTTTCTTTTTTCTTTATTTTCCGTTGAAATAGCCTACAAATAACCCCTTTTAACGTATACGTTGTTATAGTTGCACCCCTGAAAAATGAGTCACTGAAAGAGTATGAAAAATGTACTATTTTAAACATCCGAGACGGAGGCCTCCTCATGCTGTTCTATGGCCTTGGTTTTTATAGAATAGAAAATAGAGTAGAAAATATTGTAGAGAAACGCACATATTTATAGTATATTACTATATTAGTCTTCACAACAGAGCTAAATCTAAATGTGTAGATACATAATAATATGATATTTATGGTTGTTCTGAATACTTAATAATAATGGATATAGTCATAATATATAGAGATACTAATAAGTAACTAAATATAATATATACCTACGTGTTAACTAATAATAGTATAATGATACAGTACTAATAATAATTATATATTTAGGTACATATAGATACGTGCATAGATATTAATATAATATATCTGTACACTGCAAGGCGCAAGCTAATTTAAGCAGATTGAGTTGACGTATTGACGTCAGTTGGACAATAGTTGCGCTAGAATGAGTGAGGAATGGATGGATGTACCTACGTCCTACATAATACAATATTAAATATTGAAAATTGAAAATTGCACCAGCGACCAATTACAATTTATAGTAGCTCTCAAAACTCAAAGGTACCTACCTATATATTTATGAAATCTTAGGTATAATCATATAATGATAATGAACTACCTATATAGTACCTACAACCTACTGGCTACTAAATATATACATACAGTTATTAGTTATGGTATAGTCATACTATATACTTATAGGTATACGTTTTTTTGACAAACATTGCAATTAATAAAAACATTGAAATATACAATACGCTGCAAGTGCTACTTGCAGAGTGGGTTAGGAATGGAAAATTGAAAAAAAAACTATAAAAATTTCGGATCAATGACGTAGGCACCTAAATAATATTATAACTTCTCATTTTTATTATAGTCATTAGGTTTTTAACGATGACGCACAAATACAACCCAAATATATAAATAAGTTATACGTCGGTTTTTTTAAAATTAAACATAGGTTTGTATCTCCACAGGAATTCAGAATTGTATTTCCTTAATGTGGTACAAAAAAATCTCAAAAATTAAAAAATATAATACTATCTATATTAATAGTATATTATACTTGAATATTATGGTTTCAACTGTTTTAAGACTTCATGTCAAAAGGCTACGGCTTACGTTGCTGCTACCTGGGTTTCTCGACCCGGCTGGCCAGCCAGCCTGGATTGCTTGTAGAGAAGAGGACGTCTGTGGTTGGTCCCCATCACCCGTCGCTCAGCCACCTGCCTCACTCCATGTATTTTTAAGAGAAAATATGGGGAAGAACATTTTTTCAACAAAATATCAACTACATTTTTTTGGGGTCTTTGTATTTCATTATGGGGCCGCTTAAAAGACTGATCCATGGGCCTTTGGTGTGTCAGGCCGACACTGACGATAGATATCATAACTTAACAATATGATTATTAAATTAAAAAAATGTAAGCATCTAATTTTATTTGACATACTCGAGTAGTTGTCTTACAAATTACTACTGGTATAAATAATAGATACCACTGTACTTGGTACTTTAGGGTAAAGAAAAAAAGCTTAAAAATGTTGAGTACCTAATATATTTATTCTGTATAAGTACTTCGGTATTGATTTATAATCGTATAATTAACAATCCAATAACAATAATATTATAAATTATTAATTATAATATATATTATAGGTATGATGTATATGTTTTTGTTTTAATATCAAATTTTGTTCGAATTTAAGCTAAAAATGTCTATAAAAAAATCGTACCTATGTATTTTTAATATTTTTTTGTTACGCCTGCACCGAAAGTTTGGTTTTCGATAGCGGTTGAAGCGTTTGAAAGCGTCGTTTTTCCGTCCAGCGGGCGGTAAAGTGGGAATTTCTAATAGTGCCGGGTGGTAAAGTGGAAATCCCAAAAAATGCAGGGCGATAAAGTGGAAATCCCCAAAAGTGCTACTCGTACATTTAACGCGCATATACCGTACTCAAACAGACGTACTGAAATCTATACCACGGTCGTCGGTCTTTACAAAACATAAACTTTTGGTTAAATCTGATAGTCATATTATAACCTCCATGCGCGTGACGCTAAAAATAAATAAAACCAAATCGTTTCTTGTCTTTCGAAATATTGCTGTCGTATAATTACAGTCTAGTTGTTGCAAAGATCCCTGCATTACCTTTGCCGTGATCGACGAATGCAGAGGCGTGACAAAAAATAGTATGCGTGGCTCGAGCGGGAAGGCCATTTCAGTCTTGGGCGAAATGCAGTCCTCGCCTGCGCCTCGTGCCACACAATATGCTATCAAAAAGCTGCAAGAACAATAGTTATGATATATATATATATATTGTATTTTAAACTAAAAAAGTGTGGGGCTACGAATAAAACTGGGAGGGCTATATCCCCCCAAGCCCCCCCTAATTGCACCTATATGATGTACCAGCAGGCTACAAAGTACTGCAGTAGTACAGTCTGAACTCTGTAGACCGTAAGTATGTATAAAATGAAATAGTAAATCCTACTTAAATATAATATGTATAGACTATAGAGTATAGAGTATACATTATAAGGGAACTGGATCGTAATCCATTCTAGGGAGTAAAAACTAGGCATTTTATATTTCAGTTCATATGGGTCTAGTGATGAATGGGTTGAAAGTAAATGAACATTAGAGTGTGTAATTCGTAGTACGATCACGTTGTATAGGGGCATCATAAAACGTTCGTTATTTTACCTATGCGCATGCACATGTCACCAAATATTACTTTATCAAATTAGGAACATTTTTTTCCAAAAAATACTGCCAGTGACTTCAATCACTACGCTCAGTAGGATGTCCAAATTTAAATTTTGAAAGCAGATTTTAATTCTCTTCTAAATTTACTATGTTTTGACCAGTTTGGCTGTCATAAATTTTTTATACTCTATATCAATGTATTTAAATTTGAATTATGAATATGATCTATTTTTACCCTTTTTGTAAGTAAATTTCTGAGTGAAAAAAAAATAAAATCAGAAAAATGTAATTGTCAAAGCATAGATAATTTAGTGACGAATTCAAATCTGATTTTAAAATTAATATTAGAACATTATATTGGGCGTAGTGATTGAAGTCGTGAGCTATTTTTTTGACCGAAAATGAATCACGCTCTACCCCCCCCCCCCATATTATTTTCTCTAGTACCTAGATGGTAAGTTGAAAATTAAGCGGTTAACGGAGGTAGGGCACTCATTTTTAGTGCTTTTTTTTGAAAATAAATAGTAGAGGTACTCTGATTACATATACAACAATTTGCATCCCTACCTACCTAATGAAAATACCGAATATAATTGTGAGAGGTTCGAAGCTTATACCCTCAAACATATTACCCCAAAGCAACAAACATTGGTGACCTACCTGTTGAACAAATTTTGTTTTTTTTCACTCATACATTAGTTGTTATTATTTATTTGCATCACCTTAATTATATTTTTATAATAACGAGTAGGTACCTCCTACACGAAACAAAAACATTTAAGACTAAAATCATAAGTGATTGGTAAAATGTTATTAGTTGGTAGGTATTCACAACACTGAACACAGTATTGTTCTGATATCTAATATTATAATAATTAATCTAAACGTTTACGATTTGTTATGATCTTACGATATCGCGACACGCGAGGTCGATGTAAAAGATTTGAGAAACGACAACGAGCCAACAACCAACGACGATTAAAATGTCCAACACAATAGTATGTATGAATTATTCAATACGTCCTATTCAATATTCATTAATATTGTTCATTAGCTCTAATACTTCAAAATATGTAGAAATGGGTTTATTATTTATTTTATCTACGACGTAATTAACACTGCGCGTTGCGTAAAGTATACTTCATAATACTCCATAATATTGTATTGCATTCTGCAGCAGACTGTCCACTGCTGTAGGTATTAGGCCGTACGGTGTTTGTAATTATTATAAGATATAATAATAATTAAAATAGAAGTTTTAAAGCTCCCCCTCGCGCATTTCTGCAACACGAAATCACGACGACGTTCTTGTACAGTGTACGTATAATTATTATTATTTATCGAGCTCGGAAAAAAAAATAAGAGACTGAATATTGCTCACCGGCGCAGGTAATTATAAAACGAATAATATTATTACCTACACGTCGGAATACACACGAAATGGAACAGTAAAATGGATTACAATTTACAACGTGCAAAAACGAGTTTTTTTTGTTACGAGCGCCCAACATCATACCGATGTGTACGATGTATATATATATAAATATGTGTATATACATTATACTTATTTAATATTATGTATAATCTATTACAGGAAGACAAAAACAAAACGAACCATTCCTGTACGAACCGCTGTACGGTACGCTCCTGCAGCACACCACGGCCCCACTACTACAACTCTGTACACTCACACACGTCAGACCTTGACCATTATAATATTATTATCATTTCTACTCTTTTACACTACCATACGAGTATTATTATTATTATTGAATAGGTATTGGATTGAGAATCGATCAGTTATATTTAATGAATTCACGCCGCAGTACGTGAACTCCGCATTATCCACATATAGGATACCACCGTTGGACCCTACTGCAGAGGTATATTAATGTTTTATTGTTTTTAACGTTATACTGTTATAGTATTAAAATAATATAGGCAATAATAATAATATTTTATATTTATAATATTTGAGTAGTGCGTATACCTAGGAGGTACCTATGTTTAAAATGGAATTTTTTTTAATATTATATGAGGATTATGCTACCACTGCTAAGTATTTATTTTACAGTATACCTACTCAAAATAATTTCCTCCCAATATTATAATGAAACCAAATCATAGTCACACTTGTGATCAGATTCCTAATCAAAAATTATCAATAGTCGTACTTATTAGGATTTAATTGTAAAATATTAAAATCCTGGTTGTGTCACGTTAATGTTCAGTCCAAGTAATGTAGAAAATGTAGGCACCAATATTTTACTGGAAATTAAACGGTCTTTCTATTAATTTATCGTTTAGTTTCAACACAGTATATATTTTTTTTTTATGTATAAGTCACCTATGAAAACTAAATGTATTTGTATCTTTTTAGATGTGGTCAAAAATGTTGCTGTTAAGTTTAAATATTTACATTCTACTGTCGATAGTGGATGGCAGTAAAATCATTTTTTTGGATACGGTGATACAGAAAAATCATTTTAATGAGACCTTAGCTACGAATGAAACTGGACCTATGAATGAAATTGTTTCTATGGGTTCTATGTTTTTAGATAATTTTAATAATGTAAATAGACCTGTACACATCAATACAATTACGAATGAAACACAAAATATGAATGAAACTAAAACTATGAATGAAACACAAAATATGAATAAAACTAAAACTATGAATGAAACTAAACCTATAAATGAAGCTAACCCTATAAATGAAGCTAAACCTATAAATGAAGCTAAACCTATAAATGAAATTAAACCCATAAATGAAACAATTCATCATCAAGTACAAAACTCAACTTCAAATGCAGAGGTAAATTATTTTATCTCTAGTTGTATATTGTAATATTTGTTAATTATATTTTTAAATTTCAGAAATTGACACTAGGTCTATTAGATGCGACATTAAATATTGACAGATCAATTTACAGTTTACAATCACATGGGTCTAATCATGATCATAATATAGTTATATCACCGATATGTTTAGCGGCTGCTATGTCACTTGTCCTTCTGGGAGCTCGTGGTGAAACCAAAACAGAAGTTGGTAAATTGTTTGGTTACGATGAGATCACATTAAGTCATTTATCTGACAAGTGAGAGTTTGTAAATTTTATTTGGTAGCTTAAACTCTAAAAGTATTTTTTTATATATTTATAGTGGTAACCACAATTTTAAGGCTTTGGGAACATTATTGAATTACTTTCAAACCAACTCCGGTGAAAAATTGGGCACAGAAGTTAACCTAGCAAAAGCAATGTTTATTCAAAATGGCTATAATCTTACAAACAATTTTATAAAAGCAGCTGAAGATTATTTAAGCACCAAATTGGTTACAGTTAATTTCAAATCAGATGGAGAACACACAAAACACATTATAAACCAGTATGTATTAATCACTATTAGTCACTACATTTGATTACTTATTAATCACACTGATGATTCACTGGCCATATAATATGAATTACAGTAGGTAGTGTAGGTTATAACTTATAAAGTTTTAGTTAATTCATTTTAATTTATACATGTCACTTTTAATTATAACTGTTTAATTTTCTTAATATTATATTTATAAACTAAACCTGATAATGTATGTCATGTTGCTCAGTTAATTTTTCTTATTTTTATATATCATATTTCTGAAGATCATTATTACATAATATATATAAACATTTATTTTAGATTTTTAGGGTATAACTACTTAGGGACTATAATTAATTGAATGATTAATTAATCATAGCCCATAGGTAATGAATTATTTCACTGACTAGTTTTTCATAATAAAATTTTACATCATCTTAATCCTTTAGTATTGATAAATGTGGTTTTCATAAACTTGAATAATCTATTAATCGGGTTTCTTTTTATTATTAATAATATTAGTCTATCATAATTAAATATTATATCAGTATTTGTTGCCAGTGGGCAGCTTCACCATATTTTTTGTCAGTAGCCTCTTTCATGTAATCATTTGAGCCTATTATACAAAATTTGTATAGATCAGAGGTATTCAAACTGTGCGTTGCGGCTCCCATGGCATCGTGAGAGTTGTCGAAGGGAGCTGCTTCAAAGCAGCAGAAACCAAAATTAATCTATGTCAAGTATAATTAATATAAATATTATTTATAATCATTAAAGCAATTATGGAAACAATAATGAAACGTATAACATGACTATTTGAAATTTTATTTATAGTACTAGTCACTGTTATTATCACCCATATTTGCTATAATTTGTTTAAATTTCATCATAATAATTTGGGAGTTGTAAAATTTGAATAATCTGGTGTAGATTGTTTGTTTCAAATAATGTACAAGACAAAAAAAATGATTTAATTACTGCAATTAAATAATTCATTAGTTACTGATTTATTATTGGAAAACATTTACTAAATGATGTAAACAAAAAAAAATAAAAGTAATAAAACTTAGGCCCGTTCTTACAATGTCTTAACCAGCCAAATTCTGCCGGTAATAAAATTTGTTATCAGTTGGTTAACGTTAACTTACTTTACCGGACATTGTAAGAACGACCCTTATTTGTTTTTAATGATGTATTTTCAAACTTTAATATATTATGTGCACAGGTTAAATTTAAAAATATTTTATTGAAAATAATAACTTTGTACAGTAGTTGTTATAAAATAAGTTTAAACCAAAATTAAAAGACTGAAGAAAGAACACATTTATTTTAAATTTAAAATTTCGAAGTTAATTTTATTTTGAATATTTAATAAATTACATAAGGATATTTTATAGATTTATTATGGATGGTAACAATTTTTTTATATTTAAATAGATGGGTGTCGAATCAAACACGTGGAAAAATCAATGATATATTGCCTGATATCCCTCCAGCAGATACCAAGACTATTATTGCAAGTGCTTTATATTTCACAGGCGAATGGGAGAACCCATTTTTTATCAACTATACTAGAATGTAAGTCAAACTATTCAAAAAGTTTATATAAAATATTAACTGTAATAAATATTATGTTTTTTTTAGAAAGCCATTTTGTTATGGAGCAATTATTACTGGTGATAGAAAATCACCCAAACAAAACAAGGATTGTATATATGTCCAAATGATGGTAGGCAGTAGTGAAGTATTATTTCATAAAAATGAAGGATTAGAGTTTAAAGCCATAGGGCTACCATACAAAGGGAATCAATTTATAACATATTTTGTGCTTCCCGACGCAAATGTCAGTTTAAGCAGTTTAACAGCAAAAATGAATGGAAAAACAATCAAAAATATAACCAGAACTGCAAAGATCACAGAACTTACATACTTTGTGCCTAAAATGACTCTTAAGTCTTTGACCAACCTACGACCAGTCTTGCAGGTATATATTTAACTTAATTTTCAATACAATTTGATTTAAAGGTTTTTTTTTTTTTTTATTAGAATTTAGGAATTAGCAAACTGTTTGACCCTTCAAAGGCTGATTTATCAAACATGGCTTCAGATCCAGGTTCTTACATTGATGATATTTTACATCAAGTTGAAATTGATATCAATGAAATTGGTACAGTGGCGTCGGCAGCTACTGTAGTAACTATAACAAGAGGAGGACAGACTATTTTTAATGTAAACAAGCCATTTATATTTTTTATTCATCATGTAGAAAGCGATACAGTAGTATTTTGGAGTACTGTATATAAACCTATGCCATATTCAATGACACCACCAAATTTAAACTCTTTTAAAAAAACATAAATCCCTATTAGTGTAATTTGAAATATTTAAAAAGTTTTTTTATTGTAATCTTGAATACTTATACAAATATAATAATATATATGTTATGTTACTTCACAAATGATCAGTGCATTAATCGTCATGAACAATTTTACTTTTTAGCGAATGTAATTTTCATTGCATGAGTAGGTGTGATCTTGAAACCATTTAATGATAGCTTGGCGGTATTTGATTGGTGTTCATTTTCGAATTCAACAAAAGCAATATCGTGTCTGTTTGGTACAAGTCGCACTTCTTTGAATCCAGGGAATCTACAGAAATTAAAATAATTCATATTAAGCTCAATCGTTTACAAAACAATCATACAAAACATACTGGTTAAACAGCATAGATAACATCATCTCAGTCGTTTCGTCTGGAAGGTTGGTCAAGAAAAGAATCTGGTTAGGCGGTTGTTCGGGTACATCTGTTGAAGAACAAGGATTAATTTTAATACAATGGCAATACAATTAACGTAAAACAAGAAGTTTAAATAACACTCACTACCACCAGATACACCTCCTGGGTTGTTTTGTTGTGCCAAAGCACGGGCCTGTTCTTTGGCTGCTTTGCGTCTCTTTTTTGCTTCTTCATCATCCTTTGGCTTCTTGGGTTTTTTCTGGCGTTCAACAAAAGTACCTTTCATTTTGGCAATTATATCTGATTCTGATTTAGCAAATTGTATACGCTAAAAAATAAAATAAAAATCATTCTTCTAACATCGATACTGTATTGTTCTATTACATTGAACAGTAAAACATTCTGTTTTTGATTATATTTTATTTAACTTTGTATAGTATCTGTGTTCATATAACAAATAAGTTTCCTTTCTTCAAACTTATATTACTCATTATTAATATTGATGACTAAATGTAAAATGTCTGTGTTTTTTGGTATGTATTGAGTTAAATTTTATAAAATATAGATAAAAGAACTTTATAAAATTTGAACGAATAACTACGATATACAGAAAAGAATATCTGTTAATTAAGTGTGTGGAAAAGAAATTATTCAGTCAAATTGTTTATAGTAAAAACTTAATTAAAACATTAGAGTAAAAATCATCTATGAAAACTGCTACACTTATAAAATTAATTAAAATTATAACACATAATTTTATTCTGAAAAAGGTTTGTCAACCAGGGTGAATGCCAAACTAACTGATGACCTTAGTAAAATACTAGTATTTATAATTTACAGTATTCGAAAAGTTTACTTGAAAACTGAATTTGTTTACAGCATAAAAAAAAAAGTTAATTTGGTCGTTCATTTAAATTATGATTTAATATTTTTTTAATTATAAGAGTAAGGTAAACTAAGAATGCTAAACCACAACCCCATACTCAAATATCGAGCGAACTAGGAAAAGTAGAGCATAATATGGAGGCAAACTAACGTGAGCTAAACATTGCTGTAACATATTTAAAAAAATCTAAAATGTTGAGGGCCTTCACTACTCGGATGTATATTATGTAGTGATCAAAATTTAAGGTAGGATATAAATAGATTCCAAAATCTTTGAAAAGAAAGACGTTTAAGAGGAATGCCATCAAGAATGTATTTGTGGATTACAGAAGGACGACGCTTAGAAAAGGTTATAATGATTACTCAAGTTTGAGATAAGGTCTAGCTGCTGTACTCAAAGGTAAATAAATTCATTTCAGATTGGACTAAGTGATTGGTATCAGCAAAGAGAAAGAATTTTGACTGAACATTTGATTTTGTCAATACTACTGAGTAGACAAAATTTCGATTCAATCACATTATAAAATAAATTGTGGAAACAAATTGTATTCATATTATGTATGATATAAGTGAGTTATGTTCACAAACACATTCTTTCTAAACTCTGATACTATATAAGGTATAACCTCGGAAATTACTATAATATATTATTAGGTATTAATACTTACCATAGGCTTGTCATAAAACGGAAATCCTTGCATTGCACGTAAAGCATTTGTAGAACTGGTTATATCTTTAAATATAACAAACGCTTGTCCATTCATTTTAATACCTTTCATTGCCACAATATCGAGTATTTGTCCAAATTGTGAAAATATAGCGTACAAAGATTTCTTCAAGTCTTTAAAAATAAAAATGAATGTAAACAATACATTAAATGTAAAATACATCCGTTTTAAGCAACTATTATTCTATATTAATTGACTCCAATGAAAACTTACCATCTTTTTTTATTTTTTCGTTTAAGTTGTTTATATAGATGGTATGATTTGGACGTGTGTCCAACATTTTTACACAATTTCTACAAACTAAAAATAATTTATTCAATTAATACAACATATAATATAATATAATATATTACAATACAATACAACAAAATAAATAAAATTAGATGCTATAATAGATATTGACTATAATGTATAAATATATAAAAAAAAAAATGCTTAGCCAATCTATGAATTGCAGAATATTAAATTGTTAACTTAACGTTATTTACATATTAAATACTATGAAACAAGACATTATCTCGATATTCGATAAATGCCTACACTTTTAACTTAAAATTTGTAATAAAACAAGAAATCCTCATAAACGTTTATACGTGAGATTTACTAAAGAAATTTTTGTAAATGTGTTGGTCAAATAAAGACATAAATAGCATAGAAATAGAACATAATTTCATCAAGGTGATGTTGGCGATATCGTCAGGTAAAGAATTAGTGGGCCAAAGGCTCTACGCGGAAAATCGAATAACGTGTTTTCTAACATTATTTTTTAAGAAAACACATCGCCGACACGACGCCGTCGAAGACGAAAACCACAAGTCCTCATTACGTACTCACCTAATAAGTTATGTACCGACTACCGACGAAGAGATTACTCTGGTGTTGGAAGTCGAGGGTAAACGTAGATTAATCGAATGTGCTCCAAAATTTCCCCGGGGGATAAACAATTCACTATTCGGTAAAAACTAAAAAGTTAATCTGAAACATGACAATTATCGAGTTCGGCTTCGGCATCCGGAACTTTGGTAACGATAACGAAACGCGCACATCATAAACAAAACGGCGTCGGCTAATCAAAATCAGTCCGGCCATCGCCGGCATTGTATATAATATTATTTTGTATACCATTGGCTAGTCACGAAAAACAACGTTAGATGGCGTTGCTAGTCGTGAATATCATAGCTGATAACAATATCACAATCACGGACTTAGATATACAGGACTGGACACGAGATGAATATTGTGGTTACGAAATGTTTTACAACAGGCGGAGTTCGGGGGGATATTTTCCTTTTAGCATTACTAGCGCCGTCTTAGTGGATACTTATGGAACTAGAAATTTGTATGATGTGTTCTAGTTCCATAAGTATCCACTAGGACGGCGCTAGTAATGCTAAAAGGAAAATATCCCCCCGAACACTGCCTGTTGTAAAACATTTCGTAGTCAACCCCCCACACCCTCCGACCTTGTCGTGTCCAGTCCTGTATATCTTAGTCCGTGATCACAATAACCTGACCAAGGTATATTGAAGAAATTTGAGTTCAAGAGCGTTCGAGAAGACGTGCAATATACAAGCGATACGTATCGCCCGTATCGGACTCGATACGAGCCGGTACGTAACTATTCTATATTTCCATATCGATACGTATCGAATTTTTCTTGAAAATCTTCAATAGGTATGACTGTATATTTTTATTTTACTGAAATTTAATCAGTGGCATAAATTCATCAAGTTCGCCCCGGAGCTGACATTTACAGTGGGTAAATTAGGCGCAATTTAAGTTTTTGACTTGGAAGAGCTTTACCATAGAAAAGAGTACAAATATTATCAAAAAAAATTAAAGTAGGTATCATATAGAAATCAATGATTATCGATCACATTATATTATTATATAATATTATTGTATATATCTGTGTTATCGATTATTTTGGAAGATTACGACGACTAGTTAGATAAGACTAAAATCAATATATATTTTATATTTTTATATACCTACGTAATACTAATATATAACAGTATATCCAGCATTAAACTATTTAGACTAACTTGAGTGCAAAGTGTCAGTGGCAACGTAAAATTAACGCCCATAATGTGAGAACCACTTGTTAAATAATAATACTTTACCTTGGGGGGGGGGGGCTAAAACCCATCTAACAAAACTATTAATTTAAAATAACCCATAGGGGTCTTATAGGGAATATTTTTTCTGGGGGCTAATTAGTTGCTGGGGGGGGGGGGGCTAAGCAATCAGTAAGGTTTGAAAAAAAGTTACTCAGTTCGCTCGTAGATAATATAAATATTTATTTTTTTTTTTTACATTTATTAAAACATAATATATTGGAACAATCTGTAATAAATAACAGTTACAATAACCATATTATGACTTATGAGCGTGATGCGTGAACAAAAACAAAAATAATACACATGACTTAAAATGTAGCAAATTATTTTAAGTTAGAAATTCAAATACAAAGTGTCTTCACTGGAAGGCTTCTTAAATCCGTCCTTTCCTCAAGCCACTTATTCAATTATCTATATGTTACTTATTGTTCATTTTATTGTAACAGATTGTAAATAAAATTATAAAAATAAAAAAAAAAAAAGTTAGGAATTCATAAAAATTGTTTTTTTATTTCCAAGATTTTAAAATTAAATTCAAGATTCCTTAGAAATTTTAACAAAAAAAAATTTCTGCTGGAAAGTTAAATTAGTTATATTTATGAGCGTTTGAAGTTCAAATGTTTACGAATTGTACCAGCTGTGTTCTCTCGATTTCTTATGGAACGACGAGACGAGACGGCCAGACGGGCGGTGTCTCGATCTTCACTTTGGTGGCAACAGCCGTCATTATTGTCTCGACCAAAACCGTTTGCATCGAGTCGCCGGCAAGCGGTGAATCGATGATCGATCCACATCGGCTATTCGGCTCCTGCATCGAGGCGGCAGAAGGCAACCCGATATCGGATGCATCCAGTGGCATCCAGCAGCGTTCGCCCCTCCCCCTTGGGTTGTCTTTTTAACGTTATTTTTTATTTAAATATTTGGCTTGACAAAAAGACAATTTAATTTTTGAAAATTGCCCCCCCCCCTTCAGTGACTTCTGGATCCGCTCTACTGGATACATCACCCGAAGATAAGCTGTCTGCATACCACGATGTTCGGTATTGAACTGTATCGCCTGGTCACCGGACCTGCGAAATCACCGCGACTCGCCAACACGGTTTCGTAGGTCGTCGAAAAAACCCGGTGCATCGCAATCGATTCGGGGTGCGGTGAACGAATCTTGACTTCAGACGATATAATATTATATTATACACTGCACATAGTCGCAATTTCAAATTTGACTTGGGGGGGGGCTGAATATATTAAAAAACAAGCAGACCATTGCAGTATAGCATATTAAAATTGTATGTCCTAGGTTTTTTTTGAGGGGGGGGCTATGGCTAAGTTGGGGAGGGGGGTGTAAAATCTTAGCAACAACCCCCCCCAATCTGTGCCTTTGATACTGTAAGTATATGTAAGTACCTACACTAAGTAACAAGTACTATACAACTATACAAGTAAGTTAGTAACTATAACACTATAATATATCAGTGGCGTGATGAGCTATTTTAAGGGTACGGTCAGGGTACGGTCAGACTATATCCGATTTCGGACGAAATCGAGTTCGGCCGAAGACAGCCGTCTTCGGCCGAAAACAATAATATCCCGCAATGTAATTGTTGTGGTCAGATTACGTCCGAATTATTCGGCCGAATACGTCCGACGTCGGATAAAAACAAAATATATTGTTTTTTCCGGCCGAATCCACCATGCGCTGCGTCTATTTCAGCATGAACTATTTTCGTCATATTGACGAAAATGGCCATATTTTACCATTATAATTTATTTATATAGAATTGTTTTGGATTATAAAATTATTTTTGTATATTTCTTCTTGCAAGTTATTTACAGTACCTATACTTGTTAGTTGTTCATTTTGTTAAATTGCGTGAACCTAGTTAGACCTGCGTTTTCAATTGTACCTATTGAGTATTTTAAATTTGATCAGATTTGATAAAATTAAATTTGAGTATCTTTTTAAACTAAATTTTTGAATCAGAATGATTGATTCGGAAAAATTAATTAGTTTAGTTCATGACCGCAATGCCTTGTGGAATAAAAAATCAAAACATTACCACAATAGAGAAATAATTATATAGGAAACTTTGGGATGAAATAGCTGCAGAAATGGAAATTAAAAGTGAGTATCAAAATTAAAATACACTAGTATAAAAATGAATTTTTATTATTCATAATTCATACAATAGTAAAATGTAAGTAATATGTATAATATACTATTAACCTAATTTTAAATCTTAAAAATTATTAATAGTCTTAAATTAGGTAGGTAGGTATCTATCTACCCGACTACCTAGTTAAAATTAAAGGTTAACCTATAGTCTATATAGTTTATTTATTTTTAAGTTAAATTATTTCATATTACTGACTTAGGAATTTTGAAAATGAACAGCTCCAATATTATTAAAATACTCTTTGAATTTATCACGTATTGCATACGCTACAGTTTTAGAGCGATTGTTTCGTCTTGATATTTCAATTTCTGTATTGGTTTGATGAATATTTACAAATAGCGTATCATCAACCCCTTCCTGATCGATAATTATGTTATGTAATAAACAGATACATTTAATTATTGTGTCTACGTGATCTTCATTTATTTGGAGTTTCGTTTTTAGACACCTCCACTTTGATACTAATATACCAAATGTACATTCTATCATACGTCTGGCTCGACTAAGACGATAGTAGAAAATTTCTTTTTCTGGATCCAAATTTGAGGTCCATGGATATGGACGCATCAAATATTCTTTTAGTGGATATCCTTGATCTCCTAATAAAACAAAAGGTATTGGAATATTTGTATTTGGAAGTGGTCTGTTGGGTGGTACATTAAAGGAATTTGTTTCTAGGTATTTATATATATTAGACTCAGCAAATACACCACTATCACTCTGTTTTCCATATGCTCCTATATCCACTGTAATAAATTTATATTTTGCATCACACACTCCTTGCAAATGTACCGAAAAATAATTTTTATAATTATAAAACATTGAACCAGTTTTTTGGGGACATTTTATGCGGATGTGTTTACCGTCAATGCACCCGATGCAATTAGGGAAATTCCACAGTGTTTCGAAATCGTGAGCAATCTGGTACCTAAAACATTTCTTTTGTTGGAAAAGGCATATGTATTTGTCCAAACACATTCCATATAGTGTTACATGTTTCATAAATTATTCCACTGATTGTGTTATGTGCCATACGAAATGAAAAAGCCAATGATCTATAAGGAGTTCCCGTTGATAGAAACCTAAAACATAATTTAAATGTGTAAGTTGGTAATCTAAACCTAACTATATACTTTAAAAAGCACCTAATCATACAAAAATCATATAATCATATTAAACACTATACAGGATGTAACAGGAAGACCTGACAGATGAAATTATATTTATTCAAATCAATAATTAGAATTTTTTTTATATATAATTTATAGTCACCTGCGTTACACGAATAATAAAAAAATATTCTATTTAATAAAAATAAAAAGTTTAAAATTTGATTTAAATTTTTCTGGAAAAATTCGAAATGGCCAATTTGTGAATTTGATTATAAGAACAATTTTGATGATAAAAACATTTATCTAAGTCAAGTACCTAATTTAATTTTTAGAATTTTTTACAATATCGATATTTTTTTGAGTAGGTAAATTAATTTAGAAAGTAATAACTTTTTTCAAAATATTATTTTTGGGAATTTGCTGATAAAAGTATATTTCTTATATTACGTATTTATTACCTAATCATATAATTTTCACAATTTTTGTCATACGTTAAAGTAGCATCTTTTTTTTTTTTGTGGCTTTCTGTTACACCTATATGTATAGTAGTTGTACCTATAGATTACAGAGTGTAACAGAAAGAAATGATAAATAAAATAACTTTAATTCTAATACATTTAAAAAAAAAGTGTCTATATAATTTAAATACGCTTACTAATTTACACGTATAGTACAACATTTTTAATTTTAATTTTTGAATACAGAAAACAATAAAAATTAAATCAGATGTAAATTCTTTTTTTAAAAGTTCAAAAAAGCCAATTTTAAATTTTGAATGGAGCGATGTATATATATTGATATTTTTCCTTTGATTTTCTATTTTAGTATCGTTTCTGTTGAGAAAGAGAATTTAGTTATAGTAGGTACATTAGGAAGGTCAAAATTTGTCAAAATGACAAAAATTAATTGCAAATTTTGTTGAGTCAGAAATTTTTATATCTAAGATTTGAAAATTTAATACAAAATTCTTAACAAGTTTAAAATGATAATATAAACATTCAGTCGAAATGTTATGTATCTACAGTTATTCATTTTTGAATTACAACAAAATAAAGAAATCTCTACATGAAAAATCGAGTGAATGAATATCCAATGTTGTAGAAATATGAACTTCAAAAGCTCATAAAAATTTAATTTGACTTTCCGGTAGATATTTTTTATTTGATAAAGGTAGTAAAACTTATGAAGAATCTTGTATTAGGTACATTTTACAAATAAAATTTTATTGACATTGATAAAAAAAAAAACTTAAAAAATTGGAAACTGAAAATGTTTGTAAACAGCGAAATCCCGTTTTTCGTAATTTTTCGGTGGTTTTTCCCGTGGCGTTAAATAACTGTTGAGTAAATCGAAAAATTGCATCTTTAAAATACCACCTTATCCAATTTAAAGATAAGATACTAAATGTGGAAATCGAAGCACTCTTTCTGGTAAAAATTTTGTTTACAGGATATAAAAAAAAATAGAAAAACCCACATCATCATTGTAAAATCAATACATTCATCGCTCTGCTTAGAATCTAAAACTATGGTTTTGTATATTTTTTAGATTTTTGGTTACAGAATTAACTACATTTTTAAAAATCATAGTAACAACATATTTCTTAGATAAATGTTTACATAATTTTTACAATTTTATTTTATGTAATTTAATTATTTTATAATTTAGGTGATCTATTAAAAACCAAATGGCAAAATTTAAGAGATACCTATAAAAAAGAATTAAAAAAGAACAAAAAACCAACAAGTTCTGGGTCTGGAGGAAACTCATCAAAGTGGAGATTTTATGAAGCGTTGTCTTTCTTAAAAGATATTCAACACCGAGACAAATGATAGGTAATATCCCCACACCAATGTCGATGAATGAATTGGAAAGCGATTTAGAAAACACTAGGGAAATTAATTCACCAGAAAGTGACAGTATTGACGTCGTAAACGAAAACTTTAATACATAGGAAAAATTACACGAAACAACTATATAGGTATGGATTCTTCATCATATGAGCAATTACCAACGAAAAAAAAAAAACTAATAAACATGATGCAATTAGTGATTTGCTTAATATCGAAAGACAAAAACTACATCATTTTAGTAAAATAAATGAAAATTCGCAAAAAAAAAAACAATCATTGAAGACGAAAGTTTCCATTTTATGGTAAGTTTGGTGCCTTACTTACAAGAACTTCCAGATAATAGAAAATTAATAGTTAGACATAAGTTGCAACAACTGTTTTTGGAAGAACAAGATAGATGTGACAGCAATAGATTAAATCAAAATGATTTAAATATGAGATATTTACAGCCACCACGTCCTGAAGATTCAAGCCAAGCATGTTCTAATATACACAATGATTCTAACCAATTCATTGCAAGTTTTATTCAAGAACCAAATCAAACTTTTGCTACAGATAGTTCTATATATTATTAAGTACCTATTCATATTTATTGATATATTTTAATGTTTTATATTATTTTATAATTTATCTTTTGAAGTAATTAAATGGTTTTTTTTATAACTTAATATATTTTTTGAACAGTGTTACAATATAATTTTACGTTTTCAAGTTTAGAAACGGTGATTCTATTCATTTTTCTTATATTATACTAAGTAATTATGTTATTTTTTTCAGTATTATTCATACATATTTAATTTATACATAATTTTTCACCTATGATTTTTTTTGTTACAAAGGTAATATATTGATATAGTCTGACCGTTACCTAACACAGTGAATATTATGATATGAATACTATGATATTTTTAAAACTGTCATAGTAATTAAACTGTTAAAAAAACAAATTATTTGTAAATAAATATCAAATTTTTTTTTATATCTATAATTTTTCGGCGCCTCAAAAGTGACTCCCTGGAGCAATTAATGATCTTTTTACATCTGGGTTAGGAAATGCGGCCCTGTCCATACTTATAAATTTTAAATTTAAATTTTAAACACTAACAGTCCAGTAGTCCACTAGGTATATAAATATATAATATTTGTATGCTTTACGCGACAATCGGATTGTAGCCCAAATATAAACAAAAATGATTTTAATATACAATAGGATGTAAGAGAAAAAAGAGATACATACCTAGGTAAAAAAAATATTATAACCATAAATATGCGTACATGGTACATCCTACATGCGTACATGCCATAAGTGATAACTGATAAGTGTGATGTGTCGTTTTGACATAAAGGAATAATTTTTGTTATTATTATCACAGAACAATGTTATTATTAGAGTTTTGTGATGTGATTGTGATATGAATTCAAAAACACGCTTAGGTACGAAGATAAGTATATAACACTATTTTAAAAGACTAAAGTGATAGCCAAAGACTGGCTACTGGAACTCGTTAGTACCCGTATATTAATTTTATTATTTATATAGTATGCTGTATGGCTGTATAAACGAAATAGGTTTATATATAATACTATAGTAAATAGTAATACTATAACTATACTGACTACTGACATACTGTAGTCGATTAGTCTAATGTTCACATCCAAACTGTATACGGAAATACGTCATCGGTGTTAAAAATAAACTTATGCATATCCATTAATATTATTTTAGTAATTAACCACGGTATGACGTCGTTTACTCACATCTGATAATCGGTTGTTCGGTACCTACTCGGTGAAGTTGTGAGACGTGCAGAATGCAGATATGTATTATGAATTATTAATTATAAGTACGCCTATTCAGTATTCGCCATTACTATAATAATAATTGTGATAATACCATCATCAGTGGACAATTCATATGGCATTATACATAATAATATACCCTATATTATATAGTAGGTACCTATCTATATATATAAAAATGAATGTATGTCAGTGTGTCAGTGTGTCTGTGTGTCTGTGTGTCCATGTTACCATGGTTACCAAGGTTGCCATGGTTACTAAGGTTACCAAGATTTCATATCAATCTATATCTATATATATAAAAATGAATGTATGTCAGTGTGTGTGTGTGTGTGTGTGTGTCCATATTACCATGGCAACCATATCTGTATATAAAAAACAGTAAGCTGATTGACTGCTATCAACGCACAGCTCAAACCATTGGACGGATCTGGCTGAAATTTGGCATACAGATAGCTATTATAATATAGACGTGCGCTAAGAAAGGATTTGCCAAAATTCGCATTTTAAATAGGTGCTGAAACAGGGACATTGAGATTCACGATAGAAATTGGAAATTTTATTTTTATTTATTTATAGTTGCCATTGGTTACAGTCTACATTAGAAATTAGCATTTATTTATTGGTTGCCATTGGTTATTCGGGCAGATCAGGTACAAGCTTGCATCAAATCGAATTATTGAACAATGCTTACCAGGGTGGCAGAGTTGCACTTACCGCAGAAAATTACACCCAAATAGAGTTCAACAATCATAATTTTTTTAAGAGTTGCGATTTTTTACGAGCAACTAAATTTATTATATTAATCCACAGTATTATATCAAAATAAACTTGGTATAACTTTGATACTTTAGAGTTAAATCATACACTTCCGTACAAACAGCACGGGGTCCGCGATCTACCGCAGGTAGATTGCCTACCTGATAATGTACTGCTGCGATTCAGAATTTTTATTCAGGGCAACGGGAAAGATAAGATAAATTTTGAACACCATACACGTTAATGAATTGAACAAAGTTTGAGTAGGTAGTATTGAGTTGATCCCTTTAACGGGCGACGAAGTGCACGGGATCAGCTAGTATACTATATATAGCAGGCCAAGTGTGTGCGAGCGTATATTGATTATTGACCCGATATACAAGTCCCGACAGAAGAATCAACCGGTTAAACTTCTGGAAGTGTATAATATAGCAGAGTACATATTTTATCGTTAAACAACTATTATTATAGTACCTACCTACCGCATTATAATATTATGGGTAGTGTTT